TCATGAATGCTATACAACAGTGCAAATAATATCCGATTTATAATTACATTCCAATCGGCAGTTAACAGGTTTCTCTTAAATACGAGGACAGATTTTAGTTTTCGAAACACTTCATTATCACTTTTCAGATTTATTTTGATTTGTTGACTTTGATTTACTTATTGAGAAAATAGTCTTATACACGTGAAAATGACATCAACATGAACTATTTACACATTTAACTGTTTAATTCACTAGTATCCACATAGCGTTAAATTTGTTACATTCTTTAGAAAGAAAACGTCAGGTTTCATTAACTATGGTTAAGTGCTTTATTATGAAACACGCTCCGACTTCTTTGATCTAACACGCCCATTAGAATATTTCCATTATTTTATAAACACTCGAATTCGTCGAACGAAGCGAAGTTTTGTTACATAATTGTCAAATCCTTTTGTGATGAAAGAAAATAACACATTTTACATTTCGTTTATTTTCCTTCCGAGTTCGCCCAAATCAAATGTTTCTTTAAATCTTGCTACATATTGAGAAAAGATGCGAACAATTCAATAAGCTTCAGTTCTTGTTGATCGAAATTGGCTGTTTGCTTCATGTTTTGTAATTTTCTATTTGATATCACCTTTCGTAGGATCCTTTTGCACATAATAGTCAATAACAAGTTTTATTATACCTTGAGACATTTACGCATTATACTCTTCTCCATTGTTTGTCACACTTTTTCCAAAGTCTATGAACGTTATTTTTAGTGCTGCATCATTATAGAAATATTACCCATATGATTGTCGAGATGTGCAGTTCGACACCAACGTATGCCAATAATGTACGAAAACACTTTTTATCTTTATGTTCTTCATAGTGTTGTTCGATCCGACTACGTTGTGGCTAAAGAGAAAAGAGGAACTCCTCGTGCATAAATATATAAACACTTACTTTGATGATTTTCATACCAACAAATTTCAATCTACTTTCTTCGAAACTTAAAAGAACTGTCGAATGTATGTCGGACTTAAATCGTTTCGACGCCATTTCAATATCTACGTAGGATTGGATCAGATACGGTAACGAAAACTCAGAAGCGATGGACCGGGTGGGTGTGCTTTTTAAATTTGGTTTAAATCCGGTTCAACAATACCAACGAAAAATGTTTATAACGCAGCATATGCAATGTTACATCATCGCTTTTGTTCGTTTGAAAGAATAATAATCGTTCACAGGTGCATACAAGTTACAGTTAACTGTGACTGTCGAAACTGGCACAGCCGGAAGCTGTAACAGCTGATAACACAAATTTCTATAAAGTAGAAACATGCAAAAACCGTTTATTATAGAAATTTTTTAAAAGTATTTTAGGAAAACAACATAAGATGTAAAAAGTAGGCAGACTCTACATAACACAAAATATCCTGCGCATTACTTAGGGCATATCAAAGGTAACGAGATTTACAGGTAAAACCTCCCAGACTAGAGGTAATTAAGTTTGCTCTTCAGCGAGTATTTGAGCTAATAGACATGATTACCCACGCACAATAAATTTGTTACGAGACATTTCCTGAAAGTTTTTTTCGAATCATCTTTGATTGAAAAATTGCGTATTTTGGTTACAGCACTGCATACAACGATTAACTTAGTACCCGTCCGCCACTTCCCAGTTACACAAAATATTATATGTTTCTTACGTTTTGTTCATTGTGTGAGGCACTCCATCTCAATGAACGCTGCTTGAGACTTCTGGCTAAGTAACAGGAAGAGATAGTAGAGACGATTCCAGTCTGTCAGAGCGAGCGCTCACACCAAAGAGCAAAATACTAGAGCCGTACTTACCCACTATTGAATGTAAAGACAATGAAAAGGTCTCTTATGTATTGAAACAAAAGTTGAATGACGAAAATAAGATCGAATAGTAGAATGTAAATGGTAAAAATAACAATGAATAGTAAAACAACAACACACCGAATAAATAACAGGTGTATATATATATATCTAACAGTGGAAAAGAAAATTGACTGACTGAGAGAAAAGAATGAGTAACAGCGATGTATATACAGAGAGACAACAGAGGACAACGGCTTACTCTGGTGTGGAATGAAGTTAGCGATGACTATGGCGATAGTTGTCGCTAACGCATTGCAGATCAACAAGACCGTAAAAATCAGTCGATAAACAGACCTTTGAACATGAGCACCATAGAAGATGATGGTACATGCGAGGAAAGAAAGAGAGGCTGACTATAAATTAGTTAGAATAAGATTCAATTATTCTGTTAAATTCTATCATCTTACTTCCTTTCTCACACTCATAAGAGTTGTCTTATCTTACTTTCCTATTTGCAATATATACTTACTTAGTCCTGGATGACGAAACATTCAGCGGTCGGAGAACATATTTCCATGCAAACATTAGTAAGTAGAACGACTTGTTTTTTGTTCACTTGCGCTAACAACAACTAAAAAAAGAAGGATTGTGTTACGAAAATCTCTTTTGATTTCACAGAAAACGAGGAGAAAACTGAGATAGGCCTGTATGCTGCACCACTGATGATGACGTCGGCACAAAGATGAAAACGTCCGTGTCTTCAAAGAAAATTTCTTGGTCTGAAACGCAGTCGCTGCCATAATTAGTCTCTACTGCGAAATTTGCATCGGATTCGTAATCGCAAGGTCTACGCCTGTACTTCTTTTTTCTACGAAAGCACAGGAATACTTACGGAAGCGATGCATTCACCCTTATGTCAATAATAAGCAGAACAAGAAGCAGTTTATAACTACATACCAATGTCGGTTGTAAATGGAAATCAGCAGAATCCCTGTTTTGCTTTGGTACACTAATATCAGTTGTAGTTATAGACATATTTTGTTTTATCAAGAATCTTGCTGTTTTAAAACGATATATAATAATTTTGTTGTACGAGATGATGATGAATGTTGAAATAATTGATTTATCAAGCTTAATAGCTAAAAACAAAATATTTAGACGAAACGTTATTTCGTTTTCTTTTAGTGGAATGGTTTTAATCAATCAGAAAAGGAAAGTGCATCTTTCCATCATAGTCTTTAGAAATAAGAGAGCGAAAAAGAAGCACTCCAAAAAGAATACAAATATAATAGGGAAAGATCTTACATCTCAGGCAAAAGTTAGGTTTAAGTCAGAAATTTAAACCTGCTAATGGATCACTTATTGTTTTTGGATATGAATTATTTCGTAATGGGGTGTCGTTGAAATGATACTTTTATTCTCACTGATTGCATTTTCATAATGATTTATACATTTTTGCACAGATGATTGCAAACATCAAAATTTCCAACTTCCACACTGAAACGGTCGAGATAAACGTGTTGCAGAGGGAGAAGAAAACAAAAAAAGTTGCGGTAAAATATCTGAAAACCTTGGAAAAAGTTTGTGTTTCCTCTCTCCATCCGAATTTTCGTCACTCTATGATTGAGAATGGAGACGAGGAAAAGAAGGAACTTTTGAAGTCCACAAATCCGAACAAACATGCCAATGAATACTTCGAATAGGCTTTTTTTTCGTTTTATTTTAAATAATTTTATCTTCACCTCTTGCTCTCTCACTCTTCCATACGTCCTATTAATATCATTAGAAAAATAGTTGCCTTAAAATTACGCAACATTCACTTTTTGTTCAGTTGCGTTAATATAACTCAACTTTAAAAATGACCCAATTCTGCCATTTCAGTACGCATAGACTATAAGTTAAAATTTGTTTTCGAGTTCTCTGCATAAAGATATGGAATGAAAACTAAATATTTCCTTTTCTTTCCTGAATGAATATGAATGACAACCGTACAAGATCATCCTCATTATACTTTCCTTCTCATTCTTTTACATACAGCTATACTATCGTCTTGCATATATACCACTTTCCTTTTTCTGTTGTTGTAAAGGAGATTTACTAGAAAAGTATGTTCCTCAAATGTTTTGTTGATGTAAATATTTTGCTGAATCGATCAAGATAAAATAATGTGAAAATAGAATAGGAAGGAATAGAATGATCACTCATGCTGCAAAACGGAGTTGCACACTGCAACTAGAACAATTAGAAGCAAAAATTTTAAAATGAAAACTAGAAACAGCTATAAATAAAGCAATATATGTACACTGAAAGACCAGAGACCAGTGATTTCAGATTAGAGAACTCTGTTCATGATATGGTCTAAGCCGTTCAACGTGAATCGGACTTAAAACAGCGCCATCATCTTCAGATATTAGCTCATAATCTAGAGGACCGACTTTTCTCGCGATACGATAAGGATCGATGAATTTAGCGGCCAACTTAGGCGTCACCCATTTACCTAAAGCGGAACCAGCGGTATTTGCCATCAAAACCTTCTTGCCTACGGCAAATTGTACATTTTTACGATCTAAATCGTAGGATGGTTTTTGATTTTCTCGAGCTATTCCAAGATTCTCTTTAGCCGATTCATGCGCAAACTCTAAAATGGCTGTCAGACGTTCCGTATAGACCTGTACTTCACCGGATGATCGTAATTCATCAAGAACATCAACTTCTGGACCATACATTAAGTCAAGAGGCAATTTAAGTTCCCGACCGTACATTAAAAATGCAGAAGTTTGACCTGTCGATTTTCATTTATGGCTGCTTGAATGGTTAACGCTAGCTGTAGCAATCGAATATCCCAAGATTCCTTATCATTTTGAGCAAAAATACCCAGCATCGGCTTTAGTGTTCTATTAACACGCTCAGATAGGTTGGATTGAGGATGATAAAGAGCGGTTGTTCGATCTCGAATGCCCATGATTTTTAAAGTTTCTCGACAAATCTCTGCAAAAAATTGCGCTCCGTTATCAAAAACAATTTTTATGGGAACACCATGATGACATATGACTTTATCATGCAAAACTTCTGCGATTTTTTTCGATTTTATTCCCCCTAAAGGAAAAAGTTCTACCCATTTTATGAAATAGTCGATAACAACTAAAATATAGGCATTTCCTCAGGAAGTTTTTCGGAGAGGACCGGTCAAATCGATTCCGATAGTATTCCACGGATACTGAATTACGTGGGATTGCATTAAGACAGCCTTCTTTTCATTTGCAGTCTTAAAACGCTGACATACATCGCACGATCTTACATATTGCGCAACGCCGCGCGTCATACCTTCCCAAAAGAAGCGAATCGATATTCGATGTAGGGTTTTCCGGCGTTCGAGTTGACCTGAAACTGGATGATCATGGGTTAATTTTAGAATCTCAAGATGTTTGGATTTAGTAACAATTAGAAGATGCCGGCTAAGATTGTTTTTAAGAGGAGAATCGTCTGCAAACTTTCGAACCCATTAATATGGGTTTGGCAAGATTTTCGAATTTTCGATGTAAAACTTCATCATCAGGCTGAATATCATCCTGAATAAATGAAATAAGGGGGCTATAATTTTTATCCTGGCATTGAGCCAACTTTATATCATCTGAAATATTACAATGGTCCCAATGATTAACAGCAACTTCTTGATTTTCTTCTAGAGGACCGATACAAATATCATTCGTTTGTAGGACCACTACGACCTCAGATTTTAAAGGATATCTGGAAAGAGTATCGGTATTAGAATTGGCTTCACCAGGACGGTGTTTAATAACCATGTCGTAGGCATCGAGTTTCATAGCCCATTCGCTAGACGACTTGTAGGATCTTTTCAATGTTTCTGAGCCATTTCAAAGATCGATGGTCTGTCCAAACTCCGAATGGTCGTCCTTCAACATAGGGTCTGAAATGCTGCGTACCCCAAACAATGGATAAACACTCACGTTCAGGCGCTGAATACTTTCTTTCACAGGGCTGCAAAGTACGACTGGCATAGGCAGGCTATTACACGTATCCTACGCTCAATAGTTTGGGCGAGAACAGCACCAAGACCATAGTCACAGGCATCCAACTGTAAAATAAACGGATAGTCAAAGTTAGGATAAGTGACTATAAGTGCAGTAATCAGCCGTTCTTTTTAATTTAAATGCCTGTTGACGTTCGGGCGTAAACACAAAGAGTTATGTTTTTCTCGAATCGAGTCAAACAAAGGCTCAGCCACTTCTGCATAATTTTTAATAAAACGTCTGTAATAGCCAGTTAGTCCTAGAAAAGCACGAACATCCTTTGTTTTACTAGGAATAGAAAATGATCTTACAGCCTCTAACTTTTCCGGGTCCAGTCTAATTCCTTACGCGCTTACAATGTGGCCTAAATATTTAAGTTCTTGATGGCAAAAGAAACATTTTGATGGTTTTAAAGTCAGGCCACTGATTTTAATGCGATTTAGAACATTATCTACGCCTTTAAGATGTTGTTCAAAGGTTGGTGAATATATTATATCACATCATCAAGTTGAACAATGCAACAGCTCCATTTCAAACTTCGAAGGACAAGATCCATGAGACACTGGAAAGTCTCTGGTGCATTAGCCAGCCCAAATGGCATCACATTAAATTGAAAGATACCTTCATGTGCGACAAAAGCTGTTTTTTCTTTACTGCCTTCATCTAACTCGACTTGCCAAAACCCTGATGAGAGATCTAAGGTGCTGAAATATTTCGCACCTTTTAAGGCATCGAGTGTATCATCGATTCTGGGAATCGGATACGTATCTTTCACTGTGACTTCGTTAAGTTTGCGAAAATCAATGCAAAAACGAAGTGTTCCGTCTTTTTTGGGACAAGAGTTACAGGACTGGCCGACGGTCCGAAACTAGGCTCGGCTATATCATTATTCAACATTTCGGCCGTTTGTTTAGTGTATTCTGCCTTTCTTTCGAAGTTTAATAATCGGGAAGGACCCTATATGATTGGTCTAGAATCACCAACGTGAATGTGATGTTCTACTATGTTAGTACGGCCAGGTTTTGAAGAGAAAATGTCTGAATATTGATGTAGCAATTGCCTTAGTTGATTTTCCTGGTTTACGGAAAGCTCAGCTGATGTTAAATCGAGTTTTGAGAGCCAATCCCCAGGATCAGGTGCAGTATCTGTAGTATCTCTTGTTCTAGTGATTGGCTCTAATGGTTCTTCGGCTCTTACAGCTGAAAGTTGAGAATCGACTGGTTCAAAATCTGCAAAATTTGTCCTCTTCGCTAAATGATGTACTGATACATTAGGGAACGTTTCTGGTCTTTCATCTGTACTTTGATTCTTAAAAACAGAAAGAGTAGAAAGCGAGAATAACGAACCAAAATCTTCTTCTCCAACATCTGTATCAAATTTAATTTTTGCTTACGAATTTTGAATGAATGAATACGATGGATCTTGTTGTTGAAGCTTCTTTCTGATCTTATCAATATAAGCATCTAATTTTTTGTCTGTAATAGAATGAGAAGATGAATTATGCCCTTCTTTTAATTCAGGCTTCGGTAATTCCTGTAAAATATTTCTAAATGTATCGTCAACTCCTTCAGGTTTTTGTGCACTAGAAACAGAGGAAAATGGATCGAAATACGCTAGCTTTTGTCCACAACGGATGCGAGTCCATCGTGGGGTCAGATTCGCAACCATCACGCTGGTTATATTTTTATCAACCGTAACAATACTTTTAGCTATGGATAAACGTGTACTAACACATGTTGTAGTCGCTTTCCACTTTTGATCACTTATTTCCGATGACGTCCTAGCAGAAAAGAAAGTTTGATGAAAGGGAGGCAATCTTTTCTTTTCTACTGCATAGACAGGAATGTCTGATCTACCAGATTGATGTAAATCAGTAGAGAAATTTTGCTAAAGTCTTGTCTTTTAACCAATACCTTTGATCCTGAATATCCAGAACTAGGCCAATTTCGAACATGAAATAAGTCCCTAACAATACTTTTTGACTGAATTTACGTGCAAGGATAACAGGATAGCGACTAGTCTGATCAGCTAAGGTCACATCGGTTTCTGCTTAGCCAACTGACTCAATAGAACTCCCCTCAGGACCGACAATATCAGCACCTGAATAAGAAAGAATGGCTTCAGTGCCTTTTGAAAGTCGCCAATAATCAGAACTAACTATACTGACGCCAGCACCGGTGTCTAAAGTGAAAATGCCGACTGTCCCAAGTAATCTTCCTTTAGCTGTGGCACAACCTCGTTTAGTAGTGTAAAAACTATTTGAAACATTAGAAGAAATGGCATTTTCTTTGATTTTACTCTCTAATTTAAGGATGGTGGTAACAAAACCTGAAGATTTGGACGATAAAAGAGGTTGGGTATTTTCTTTATCTTTCTCTTCTAACTTCCTCTGTTTCTTTTTAACTTGTTTCGCTTTCTTCAATTCGAGTTTCTGCGCCAGATTCTTTTGTTCACCTAACGGAGTAGGTAGTACAGTTGCTGGTGAATTAACACTATCATCAGATGATGAAAAAGAATTAGAAGATGAAGAATTAGGCTGAGAAAAACTTAATTCAGACAGTTTTTCAGGTGAAAAACTTGGGAATGGAGAATATTCAGTCTGAGATTTTTGTTCTAGAATAGCAGATGTTGATGACAACACAGTCTGAGATATTTTTGATGAGAAAGATAAAGGCACATAATCGGATTTCGGTTGAGAAAAGACCTCCCCATTACGGTCGGATTTTACCAGCCTCGCAAGCGGTTTTAGGGTCTCTATCTTGCCTTTTTCTTTAGATTGGACAATTGAGGATTCATTAAGGAGATGGGAGATAAGCGTATCTTCACTTAGCTGCTCCCCTTTCAGTTTAAGCGATTAGGTCTTTGCTGATCTTGAGAGCCACCACCGGAAAAACTGAGTCCAGCAGACAAATTGCGCTGATTATTGTCTTTGGAAACAGGTATTTACATTATGTCCAGTTTTCTTACAAATAGCGCAAGGTATACGACAGTCTCGTTTCCAATGTCCATTTTTATGGCAAATTCGGCAAGAATCCGGAGGTTCTTTATTTCTATACTCAGATGATGAGTTTTCACGATGAAAATTTGACTGATTTCGAGAAAATGGCAAAAGAGACTGATTATTGTTGCTATTTTGGTTGCTACTATTATTATTATTATATCGTCCGTAGAAAGTTGCTGTGGGTTTTTGCCGAAAGTCAGTATTATTTCTTTCATTTTTAGGAGAATAATCCGAAGAAGTATTTTTTTCGTTTGCTGCTTCTGAGAAAGTAGTTGATGGTGGAGAGGACTGTTCAAGATTAGCAACAATAACAGTCTTTTCTGGCGTTTTCAGACATGCTAGCTGACAAGTTACTGAACTAGTTAATTCTCGTGACTTTCATCATCTTAATCGCAGTCAGCATTAGAAGAAAAACAGCCTACAGGCATTGTTCTTTGAATTTCTCCCTTGCGACGGTAGAGTAGCTGAATTTCAGCTTTTTCAGTTTTTTTAAGTACCTCTTCCAACGACATACTGTCTGGATCACCTTTCATCCAAAGAAGAAGTTCAGGTCTCAATTTTCGGAGAAAATGTTTCTTCAGTAGTTTTTCTCTCATTCTAGGACTGATTTCAAGCTTTAATCCTAGATATCTTTGATAAAAATCTGCAGCAGTTTCGTTTTGTCTCTGAACACATCGACTTCGTTCAAGTTTCAAAGCTTCGATACGTTCAGGACTACGAAAACAAGACAAGAACAGCTTTTTGAACTCAGGCCAAGTGCTCGGTAACTGATATAATTGTGAAAGCTGTAAATACCAGTCACGAGCTAGATCTATCGGCCAGTTACAGATATTTCGAAGTAATTGCGAATCTGAAGCACGAAAAAGGGTGCGCATCGTTTGTTGATATTCATGCAAAAACTTATTCGGTTGTTCATTCGCTTTACCACTAAAGCGACTAATTTTGAGTCATTCACAATGACCTGTAAAGTTGCTGCTTGCTCAGTCACAGTCAATCGAGACGAAGAACCCGAAGATTTTCTTTTCTTTCGAGATTCTGATGTTATCTCTTTACCACTAAAATTAGGATTGTCATCTCTATCATCAGAAGGAGAAATTTGTTTTCGAGTAGGCGCCTTCTTTTTTCGATATTTTCTTTTCTTTTCTGGCTTCGATGTTACACTTTTATCTGAACTTCTGTATCATCTATACTAAAGGAGCTATCAGAAGATGGTGATGATGATGGCGAAGCTTTTTGTTTGCGACTTTTCACAAGTTTTGACTTAAACTTTGATTTTGACTAAACACCTTCTTTAGCACTATCAGAAGAACTCAATTTATGATAAGATGTGAATCAAACTCTTCGTTTTCGAGATGGCATTGCAATTTTTCCACTCAGTTTTGGTTCGGAAAGATGATCTAATTCTTTACCGGAAATTTTAGCCGATGTATTCAACGGCAAAGCTTCAGTTTGTGTACTAGAATCACGGTTAACAATGGAAGATGGATAAATTTTAGATCTATGACATGAAGTACATTCATCTAACAGCTTCGATTTCTCCCCTTTTGAAGTAGTGGACCTAACTGATCGACACCGATGAGAGAAGGAGAAGAAGAAGTAGAAGAAGTTTAGAATTTTAGTTTAGAGTTTTTAAAGAAGAAGAAAAACAATGTCGACACAAAGATAACATGTCTCCACATTCCGCATCACTATGAAACATAAAATAATAATAAAAATCAATTATTAACTGATTTTACTCTCTTTATATAAAGAGCGGATAGAAGATGTTCCTCAATTTTGTTTTTGGAGAGAGGAAATAAAATATGTAACGGCAAGTGGCCGTTACAGGGGGGGGGGGGCGCTTTTTTGGGGTATTTTTGTGTTTTTTTAGAGGTTTATGGTGTTGTTTTTTTGGGATTAGCCTAAATATATTATTTGGCATGTTTTTTTAAAATATAT